TGAAAGCACTAAAAAGACTTGAGAAATATAATCAAAACCCTTATGTTAGTATTTCATTTGGACATGGTGATTATGTTTGGTTCCAGGTTTTGAAAACTCAGAAACAAACTCAAATCTCAGAACCAGGACCCAGCGAAAGAACGTCAGCCTTCTGTGTTTGACATTCCCATGAGAACCTTTACTTGGTGCTTTTCAAAATCACAAGTGGGCGTGACTGGTCCTGGGAACTGTATTATCATGTTGACGTTCTCTAAGACCTGAGAAGAACATTGTGTAATTTTTGCCTTCAGAAAAAAGTCCCTGTAATTCACCCTTTGCTCAAAGTTAGGGCTACCATATGTCCGGATTTCCCCGGACATGTCCGGCTTTTCAGTCTATAAATAGCTGTCCAGGGGGGATTTTTAAAAATCTAAAAATATCCGGGATTTCCCCCCGGTCAGCTATTTATAGACAGAAAAGTGGCGGCCAAGCACCACTGGGCACCCTAAGCCCCTTCCCGGCTCCCCCGATCCGCTGCAGCCTTACCACGCTATCCAGCCCCGCAGCTGTCTTCCCCCTTCTCCACTCCCCTGAACGCTCCGCCCACCTGCTCCTCCCCCTCCCCTGCTTCCCGCCAATCAGATCTTCGCGGGAAGTCTGAAAAGAAGCAGGGGCAAGCGGGAGGCAGCAGCAGGGAAGCTGGGGCGGGGGGGTGAGAATAGGAGAGCTCCGGGGAGGCGCGGCCCTGTCCGAGCGGCTCCCTCTGGCCCGGGCTGAGCGGCGCCCGGCGGCCCCAGCGGCTCTGGTCCCGGTTCCGGCCGAGCGCCGGCCCAGGCCCGGCCCCCAGCAGCACTGGCTCGGGCCCCAGCAGCGCCGGCTCGGGCCCCAGCAGCGCCGGCCCTGGTTCCGGCCGAGTGCGCTGGCCCAGCCCTGGCTGAGCACCTCTGGCCCGGCCCCAAGCCCCGCAACCCCAGCCAGAGTGCAGCCCGATTCCTGGGCTCTTTAAAGCTGGCCCTGGTCAGGGGACAGGGAGCGGGGGTTGGATGGGTCGGGAGTTTGGGGGGGGGCTGTCCGGGGGAGAGGGGTTGGGACAGTCA